GTCCTCACACCCGTCACTAAATCAGTGCATGGATTCAGCAATCACACCATGGCTGATGGAACAGCTTGGCCTAACAGAGAAGCCTATGTTGATCTGTCTACTTCTGTTTTATATTGTTTGTTGTTAATGTGTGATACAAACAAATAATAAGAATCTTGTAGATAAATAACTTCATATTACAATTTAGAATAAGTAATAATTTAGATTTCCTAACTGTGTTCCGATTTGTGGATGCTGTGGAGTTAATTTGTTACATTGCAATAAAAGAGGATATAATTAAATTAGGGTTTTATTTGTTTATTATATGATCATTAGAATTGAAAATCTGTGAGGAATAGGTACAACGTCGCATTATTCAAGATGGTGAGCAGACCAGTTGTGCGGCTCTGTTTGCTTCGAGAAGAGCTGTTGCATTTGACAAATTAAGAGTTCTCAGTTCCAGCTGCAACAGTACAACATGAGACTTTATATTAGTCAACTGTTAAACCAGGAGGAAAAGGGAAAACACTGTTGTGATTTCTTGTCTGTCAGCAAATGAAGGGATGTCGAGTGACCTGAGAGTTAAATGACAAACACAAATTTTAATATTAACAAAAGATTTAACAGTAGACTCGAACAAAGGACAGTGTTGGGAGGAACTAGTTATATGTAACAATGTTGGATCCCTCCTAAGTTCCCTCTATAAAATGTTGAAAAATATTTTTTTCTTCAGTTTAAACTCAGAATAGTCTCACAATACAAATGAAGTTGAAGTCCAACCTTGAGTGGCAAATATCATATTGTCTCATTATTAAATAGATAAATGTTTTCGATGTTCTTTGAAGTTTTTGAAGTTTTATTTCTTTTAAAGCGGTTTGACAGAAGTCTGTTGAATAGAGCTGTAAAGTTTTCATTGCCAGGTTTAAACATTTGAAAACTAAACTTAAAAAAAAAACCACATACACAAATGTATATTTGCATGAAAAACAAAGCATACATTTAAAAAATGTTTTCCCCTAAACATAGCAAAGAAAAGTATCAGTACCTTTGCTGTTTTTCATTTCCTATCTGATGAAGGCCGTCTTTGTTGACTCACTGACCAGGACACTGATGTTTCTGTCAAGTACCACACCCAGGTTTTTATCTATACTAACTTGAACCACAATTTAAGTGTCACATCTACAATTGTCATATATTTTACTCCATTTTTGTGGTTCTTTAACTTTCACTAAGCAAAAAGGAAATAGTATCAAGCAGCAACCATCATCTTTAGGTGTTTGATTTCAGTTTGTGGTTGCAAAGCCACTCTACCAGTGTTTAATATTCTTTATAAGCTATTTACTTATTTTATATGCAAACGTATTGCACAGGTTTAGATTAAATCACACAAATGTTTCAAGCTTTTATGGTACATTTTCTACAACCAAATGAAATCATCACTGGATTTACTTTAATCCCTTAAGACATTCAGCTGCACATTATAACTAAAAAACAGAAGAACAATTAGTTTACAGAAGAGGAGAACTGCTGAATCTTTACACATGACATAAGGACATGTCAGATGGGCTTATGTTATATAAAGTAACATTCACAGCAGCGTCATGAAAATGACTCCAGTAAGTGGAACATCACCTGAAGGATTGCTGTGTGTTTTGTATTCACACACCCCGAAGTGTTGTGACTGAGTTTTTTTTACTAAGTTTTATTTACAACCGGTTGATATTATGAACATGAGATTGTCAGCACAACTATAATAAATAGCAACCAAAATGATTTGTTTGCAGGAGATGATTTTGAATCTTACATTGCTTGTTTTTGTTTTGTTTGTTTCCTTCCAGAGAACGATGAGACTGGTGTGATGGATAGTTTGCTGGAAGCTTTGCAGTCCGGAGCTGCATTCAGAGACCGCAGGAAGAGAGCCCCAAGATCCAAAGGTAAGCCTCATATCTCACGTTTATATACAAATACACACATTTTACATTTAAGCCAGATATTTTAAAAAATATGTGTAAAATAATTCTGGTCCTAATGTCCAAATATGTATTTTTCTGTTTTGATTGAAAGCTTTTTAAGTGAATTGAGTCATCCTCGTGTTTTTTTTTACATTTTCGTACTTGCGTCCAAAATATATTGATTGTTTGTGTGTATGCTTAGTAGTAGCTTTATGTCAGAGAATCCTCAGTTTTTGACTTTTGAATATCGGCTTTGTTCTGGTGTTTTTAATTTTAAATTCAGAAATCAAGGGTTTATGAACAATCCCATGTTGTGATTCCAACATTTGTGCATTCTCATTGGATGACGTAACCAACAAACCCTCAGTCGCTCCAATTCTTAATAACCAAGTTTAGAGTATTTCTTAAAGTGGTAAATATCTTCTCCTCGCATTTTAATAGCTCCAGGTCATTTATGTGGTAGCATCATTTGTCCGGTGCACTCCCTACAGATAACCACCAGTTGACCATCAGCCCCGGCTCCTTCCGGCAGGTTCTCAGGCCTGTCAACTATGGTAAAACAAATCATTAAATATACATGCAGTTTAAGCCTCATGCATGCTCAGCTCTGTCTTCTATCTACTGCCTATAATCAGTGATGATGAGCCTGACATGTCACAATGCAAACTGTATTGGCAGTGCTTATGTCCTACTTTTTATTGGTTCTGTTATATTTTCAGTTGTCTGTTGCTTTTTTTGCTTTTCAAACCTTGTGTGCATTTTCTGAACGTTACCAAGTTTTCTCTTAAAACAGTCAGTAGGCATCTTGAACTCATCTCAATTTAGAACATTAAAGCTGCATTTTGACACTTTCACAGCAGCTCTTACGACTGAAAACAGTCTACAGACCCAAATGTTCAGGTCTAAAACAAATGTAGATGATTAATAATAATTATTAAAATATTGGCTCAAATCTGCCTGTCTTTATTTAAAATTCTACTCTGGTAGATTTAATCATTAACTTGTATGTGGCTGCCAAGGAGGGTACACAATGGGCTGAAGTGGGGAGCAATGCGGGCAATGCAATAAAGCGCATGGTGTAAAATACAGCTTTGTAAGCCATTCGTGCAAAAGTCCATTAAAAAAAAGTATGATTCGGTGGTTGATTCGTTATGACACAGAATTCAGGGGGCTGCAACTAAAATTTTGTGTATTTTATCACACATTTCTTTCAATTTTGTGTCTTCAACTACCGGTAGTCTCCAACAATTCCAGCCAAGGAGACAGTACTTGATGGGAGGTTCTGAACTGTTTGGTTTACACAGACGATGTATTTTCTGTTTTAGCTCCTTTTATTAAAACATTATACTACAACTAAATGTACTGAGATGCTGGGGAAAAGGGGGGTTCTGTTACTCTATTACCTCTTATTAGTTGTAATTGGAATCTCAGTGGGCTGGGTGCAAGAACACATGAATAAAATTATTCACGCTCAATCCACCCACATCATTGATGGCGATGATAAAGGGCCTTGCTCTGTTGTTCTGCAGCAGCATATCTGGAATTAGATTGGAAAGGGACATGAGGGAAGGGTATATATATATATGGGGTGGGAGGAAAGAGACAGATAGATGTGACGGTAACAGTAGAAATGGAGAGAAATGGTGTGAGCAAGAAGGAAAGAGATGGTTGTTAAGGGTGAGATCATGTAATAACGTGGGAGAAAAAGACTGGCCTCGGTTGCCCCTTGTTTTTTTGTGTGAAAGTGTGTGCGCGTTTGTAAGAGCGTTAGGAATGTGAAACACGAGTATGTTTTTTTTATTAAGAGCGTATTAAAGTAAAAAAAAATAATAATAAATCAGTGCACACCAAAAAGGAGATCCTGCCTGGTGTGTTGAGCAGGTAAGGAGGCACTGAAAGGTTGCTGACCTAGCTGCCCCCTGCTGGCAGCTTCAGACACGGCCTTGTTGTCTAATAAAGCTCAAGGCTTTCTCTTGTCACTGCAGGCATCATACTCACTGCCAGCCTCCCAGAGCAACCACAGCTAATTACTTTTCTCTGCCCAGCACCAGCTCAGCCCTCTCAGTGCCCATTCATCTTAATTTCCCCCCTCTCTGCCATCTGCCTTCTAAATAACACTCCTCCTCATTTCCCTACCATCCCATATCCCCACTGTCTTCTATACTCTCATGGCCAGGCAACGGCCCTCCCCATACATAATTGCCTGTTATTGGTATGGAGTTTCTCCTCTGCTCCTGCCTTACCACTTCTCCCCTATTTCCTTTCTCTCCTTTACTCCTACAGAGATTTGGGCCTTAATTGCCCTGGGTTTAGTCGCTGAAGTGAGTGAAAGCCGCACAATTCTCTTTGTTTAGTTGGGAGGTGATGAAGTTTAGTCAGCGGCACAAACAGCTTTTCGCTTTCCAGTCTCCTATCATGCTTTAAATACCCTTTAATAATAGATCTCAGGGGTTTTGCTGCACTCCAATGAAGCAGCGAAGAGAATTAAAATGGAATCATCTTTGTCAGAAGATGCTGTAATTAGTTATGAAAGGAAGATATTTGATTGGTCAGTTTGAACACCATTTATCCGAATAGCTGTGATTGCTATGCAAGAAAAAAAAAGTGGTGTACTCTGGTGTTTGTTACACCCAAATTGATTTTCTTTTTTTTTTCTTTTCCACTGCTTGGTCTGAGTTAAGGCTTGTACCTTGGTGGCTGGCACTTTTGCAGCTTCTTCTGACTCTTGTCTCCTCTCCAGGCCTTCCCTTAAAGCATCTAAGCGCACTTTAACATGAGCCAGCAGCCAAGGTGTTTGGCTTGGTTTGCAGTATATGTAAGCACACATACACACATACCCATAAACACACACAGACACACCTGCTGACTTTAGGGGATGAAGGTAAGCAGGCTTTGCGGCGGCTGTGGCCTAGGTTAGGATAAGGCTGTGGGGCTCTGCAGCTCCTCAACTCTCTAAATTGGATCGGGCTCCACAGAATGATGGATCGATGGTGGTTAGCCACACAGGTGTAAGATCCTTATTGAATCTATACAGAAGCCATAGCTTTTTAGCTGTCTCCTTCTGAAAATATCTCTTCAGGCACTGTCTGAAAGGTCCTATCACAACCTTACTGTTTCCCAAGCTGGTGTATGCCTGTAATGTTGAAGGAAGTCAAACAACTGCACTTTTTCCCCATTCTGTTTGACAAAGAGAAAGAGCCTTCACATCTGTTTATACAGCACAAGCCAGGGGGGCAGAGCATGTCCTGCCTGTAATGCCTTTTTTCCACAAACTGATTTGTTATAGTGAGTGAGGTGAGGCAGATTTCTCTCTTTAGGTGCAATTACTTTAGGAGTTTTTAGTGGCACTTAATCTAACAATTATCATCTGTACTGCAACTCTAAACTGCAGCTTTAAACTCAGTGCCAGAGAATCCATGACCAAAAAAAGATGCAATATTTTTCCACATGCTCTTAACAATTTCACATTTTTCAAATTTATAACCTGTTTTACTGAACTCATGTTTCGTTATATAATGATGATACCTCAACTCATTCAGGCTGGTATTCAGTGGAGGTTTTAATTTGCTTCGGTATATGTGCAAATAGTCTCAAAAGATGACTAATAGGCTTAGTTTTAAACTCATCCCACAGTGTCTGTCAGGGATTGCGCTGCGGCGCATCACCAGGATGAAATTAGAAAAAAACATGAAGTTGAAATGAAAGTCAAAAAAGTCGGATTTAAAAAAACAAGTTTTTCATTTCAACTCTGTATGTTCTGTCTGCTTACATGAGAGGTATTTATGAAATACTGGTACTGATATTCAACTACTGAAGTTTCCTGAGGCGTGGATACTCCTGTGGAATCGGTTGTTAGATTCTTTCCTTTTTGATTTGGCCTCATATAGACTTTGAAACGTTCCACTGCGGGTTAACTATATCCTGAAGATTGTGTTTGTGCTTTTTCTTTCTTCTTTCACATCTATGTCTGTTCATATTATCGTCACTTACATAAGATGACTTCATGTGCCTCCAAAGTTGTTCATTCTACTTTTTGACTTTGCTTTGTCTTCACTTCACTGACTGCCTATCCTTGCTACTTTCCCCCAGACATGACATAAGCAAAATAAAAAATAAAAAAAAGATTATTAAATCATTTCAGTGAGCCCAAGACAAGAGAGGAGCATTGACTCTCTCCTCCATTGATCTATTTCAATTGATGCAAGGCATTATGGTTTCAAAAGTTTAACTGTAGAAGGTGCTGATTTAACCATATTTGGTCACAATACATCATCCACACATCACATGCAGCCAGTGCGTTTTCATTAAAGTGACAGATTATCACCAAGCCGCTTCTCTTCTCAAGTACTGTTCACTTTCACACATACCTGTACAGTCTCATGAATAAATGCATAGAAATTAGCAGTTTAAGTTCTGTGTTTTCACAGTCGACATACAGAAGCTCAGAGGCCATTCATGGGTCAGGGCATTAGCTGTTTCCTTGACCTGGACTGGTGTCCAGCTCTATGTATTCATGTCAACAGTCCTCTGGCCACTTTGAGTCACCGTTTCTGTCCTTTCAGCACTCTTGAATGTTGTTTCAAGTGTTCAACTCTTCTCGCTGACAAAGGTACACCCAGATGGGAAAAAGTACCTTTACCTACCTTTGTCTGTTTGTTCGTCCATCTTTTCATAAGGCTACCAAAGTTATGTGTGTGCATCTTTAACCCTCGGCACCCATACAAGGAACAGATGGAGCAGAAGGGCACCTTAACAAAGTGGCTGGTGTAATTAGGTCTACCTTGTGCTGTGAGACTTATGTAATAATAATTGAGGCTTGTTGAGCAGTTTCTTTTTCCTGTTTTTTTTTTTTTTTTTTTTTTTCAAACTTTGTTGGAAGCGCCCTGTTACACATTTCCTGCTACAAATGTCCATTAAAGTACGATTTGATGTCTTAAGGTAGTTTCTCGTTGAGTTGTGACTGGTTGGTGAAAAGCATTCACAAGGGAGTCTCCAAAATGTATTTGGATACTTTTACTCTGCAGGTCTTAATGCTCAGTACTGTTTTTTTTTGAGTGGTCATTCACATTATCAAAGAAATGCAACCTCCTTCAGACTCCAGTGTGAAACATTTACAGTTCTGAGGTGGCCCCGCATGCACAGATGAAAGTGTAACATTACATGCATCATGCAGTATTTAAGGAAGTAAATATGGATGCTAGCATGTATAATTCTGAAACTGTCATGCAATCAGAACTGACTAAATTATCTGACATGATCATTTGGTGCAGTGCAGATTTTTATTTTTGGAACTGGAGCAAAGTACTGAAGGTAGAAACAAACTCAAGTATCAATCTCATCATGTTCATATTGATACGGTCCGACACTAACTTTTTCTGTAAATTCTCAGTCATCCAAGTCATGAGGAATTAACAAAACATAGACAAACCAACTAGACTTGTTCTTTATATGCATGCAGAGATCCATGATTTAAACCGCACAAGACTGGGATCATTATTATTACTTTGATCAATCCGCTCCTCCCCTCAAT